CATATTACTATTAAATAAATAAAGTACGATTCCTAGAATAAATGAAGCCTGAGGGACATAGGAGTAACTAAATATTCATGTTATTATTGAAATCCTTATATACAATAGATATTGATGAATATCGTTGATATAGTAGATGACAAAGTAGATTAGCCTATTTAGAGCTATTCTCTTTGAAAGAATCTTGAATTAAGACAACTGACTATGAATCTTTCTCTAGTAGTTCAATAAATCAAAAGGTTATAAGCCCGGCTGCGCATCTCTTACTACACCGAAAAACGATAAACTTGCTTCTTCTGTAATTACTAGAGCCCACGAACACAATCATAATACGCACGCTGAACCAAACTATTCAACGTTTTTCGATCTATTAACGATGTGAAAACCTTCGTCTTGTTAGAATCAATAATAAACATTTCAAGACCAATAAGACTAGTATATAAACTCGACTTGATTACGATATAGCCTTGCCAATCAGAACATAAATTTTGAAGATTATAACAGATTTAAAGTATTTGGGAATGTACTGGTATAGTAGACTTGATTCAATCTTGTTGGGCCTTGAAAATAGGTAATATGAAGACTAGTAACTAGTATGTATCGGAGATCGTTATTAAGTATTTGAGCATTCGAAACCTTTGAAACGGTTCACAAATTCCATGCTAGTATATTAAGAATTATTTCAATAGCTTTCCATTTCGACTACCTTGGAAATTTAAATTCACTCTGTTTAGTAATCTTGATTCAATATATAAGGGAATAATGTATATATTAAGGGGCGAATGAAGCAAGCAGTACAAAATAGGGTTATTGAAAGGCATCGAGTTCGGAAAGGAAAGCTTTGCGTTACTATCTTTCCGATGAGGGGGTGTGTTGAATGTTGTTTGTACAGTAGCTGACTGAGTATATCAGCTTAGTTAGGGCTCTCATTCTACATAGAACCTTCAGTTAATATAACTAATCCCACGAACCTTTTTATAGTGATTAAATGGTGAAAAGATGTAGACTATTCTTATAGTAAGAGTTCTGGAACCTCCTCACCGTACAGATTTCGATTTCCCTACTAAAACCATTAATTTTCCAGCTTTTAAAGCCCCTGTTTCTTTACACAAATTTCATATAAAATGATAGAAAGAATTCAAAATCGATTTAGGATTAGTTTAGTTATATATAAAAAAAACCTGGTTTATTTTTAAATATTTTATTTATAAAGTTATAAGCTATTAAAGATAAGAATTATAATTTTTCTAAAAAAATCGCTTATTTTGTATGGGAAAAGTGTTACAAGTTAAAAATTTATAAACAAAAATAATTAAAAATAAATTATATATTTTCTTAGATAAAGAATGATATTAATTATTTATTTTGAAGTTTTGAAAATAAAATTCCTTGAATTGAAAAAGTTATTAATTTTGTTAATTTATATAGAAATACATTATTTTTGTAGAGATTTTGTTACAAAAATTTATAGGGTGGAGTAAATAAGTTCGATAACTCTTATATGATTATGATTATCGAGAAGAATACTTAGAACGTAAATATCTACGTTGATTCTAGATTCTTCAGATGTTGTCACGCTAGCTCCTTAGTGAGAATTCGAATCTATAAGTCGGGTACCCTACTTTCGGGCCACCTCTGTTTTGGGCCACGCTTTACTATTAAAAATCTCAAAAAATGGAATTTTTAACTTTCTTATTTATGAATAGAATTTATTGAAAATTTGTATATATATAATTTAGATCGTTCTGAATCTAATCTGAAATTTTTAGATTTTTAGGATTTTTCTGTATTGAAATCTAGAGCTTCAAAATATCGATTTTTTATTTATATGAGAATTACATATAAATTTAAAACTTTTATAAAATCTTTAATAACTTTTTAACAATAATTATTCAAAGAAAACTATATTTTTTTTTGAAAGTTTTGAGCTTAAATCTATATAGAAATTCAAATTTTTTAATAAATATAAAGATATAGTATACAGTGAGTTGTTACGACAGACATCACATGACACATTCGCGTGTCACGTGAGGGAGCCTTGGGGAGCTACGGGCTCCAGGAGCATACGGATCCCAGGGGCTCCAGAGGACGAAGGTCTATATAACAGAATGAGTTTCATTATAATATGGAGCTTCGTGCTCAAGAACAATCATTAGTTTCATTACTATAGTTACGAGAATTGCAACCAGTTACAACCTTATTGAATTCCTACTTGAAGTCTAGTTTAAACCACCTCGAGAGATCTCTAGACACTTCCACGTGACCCTAGAGGCAGCTCCCGTAACATGAGTTTGAAGTAGTATAAATAATCTCTGTAATATTGAGGGTATTCTTTTAGATATCTATTTATAAAAAGTTTTCTACTTTTTTTATTTTTTTAAAATAAATATATTACAAACTTATAATAAAACTTTTTAGTTTATTTTTAGCAATTTTTATTAAAAAGTTTATTGAAGATTTTATAAAAGTTTCAAATTTATATGTGATTCCTATATAAATTTAAAAATCGATATTTTGAAGCTTCAGACTTCAATATAGAAAAATCCTAAAAATCTAAAAATTTCAGATTAGATTCAAAACAATCTAAATTATATATATACAAATTTTCAATAAATTCTATCTATAAATAAAAGAATTAAAAATTCCATTTTTAGTAACGTAACGTATGGGGAACTCGGACATATGGGGAACTCGGACACTTTTAGCCCATCACCAACTTGAAACCGCAATAACTTTTATTATGCATACCCAATCACCTTCTACATCTGCTCAAATTGAAGAGAAGCTTCAAAAGGCTATAATTTCACTTCAATTGAAAGAATTTAAATCAATTAGAAAGGCTGCAGAGCATTTTGAAGTCCCTAAGTCTACCCTAGCTGATAGGCTGGCTGGGAAGAAAACACGTTCCCAAACCCACGAAATGGCTCAAATTCTTTCAAACGCAGAAGAAAATACTCTTGTACAATGGATTTCACGACTTACCATCACTGGATTCCCTGCTACACCTATGTTGGTGAAGGAAATGGCCGACGAAATTCGTCTTCGACGCGTTCGGGTCGCGTCATCTCGAAATCCTACCTCGACAGAAATTCCACCTATAGGCCACGAATGGATCTATAGATTCCAAAAACGACATCCAGAACTTAAAACATGCTATTCACGTCAATTAGAGTCTAATCGGGCTAAAGAAGCAACTCCGGAGAATATTCAGGCTTGGTTTGACGCGTTTCGCACGCGTCTCATTGAGCGAAAGTATGAATTAGATGATATGTATAATATGGATGAAACCGGATTTGGAGTTGGAAGTACTCAAAGTACGCGCATTATAGTCGATTCTACTCAGAAATCGAATTGGAAAGTTACAGCTGGCAAGCAAGAATGGATAACTGCATTTGAATGTGTCAATGCAGCTGGAAATACTCTATCACCTATGGTCATTTTCAAGGCTCAGAATACGAATTCTGCATGGATTCCAAAGGACACACCTCAAAGCTGGCAGTTCTCTACTAGTACAAATGGATGGACCTCAAATAGCTATGGATTAGAATGGTTAAAAAGGGTTTTCGAACCAGAATCCAAGAAAGTGTCAGGTGACCGACCTCGACTTTTGATCATGGATGGCCATTCAAGCCATATTACAGGTAGCTTTATTGCTTTCTGTATAGATAATGATATTGATTTACTTATATTACCTCCTCATTGCTCTCACTTGCTTCAGCCACTTGATATTGCGGTGTATGGGCCAATGAAACGATATCATGCTTTAGAGGTCGATCGATATTCTCGAGCTGGTGTAAAGCGAATCCAAAGAGCTGAATGGGTAGAACTCTTTCAAAATATTAGAAAAAAAGCATTGAATTCTTCTAATATTAAAGCTGGCTGGAGAGGAGCTGGTTTAGTACCTTTTGCCCCACGAAAAGTACTCGATTCATTACCATTTAACTCCTCCCAGCAACCTTCTACTCCACAAATGAGAACCCCCCAATCAAGACCTAGACTTGTCTATACTCAGGAGTTCTCCTCCAGATGGAACAGAACTAAGGCAAGCAAATCAGATCTTTAATACAGCTCTAGCAAGCAGTGGTTCTCCTGCATCGCCAACTCGTCGATATGCCAAGAGAATGACTAGGCTTGTAGAATCTCAAAATGCTGAGATAGCCCTACTTCGGAAACAGCTCTCTGATGCTCAGGAGGTAATTGAGACTCGAAAGAAAAGAACTAAAGGCAAAAGAGTCAAATTACAAGGTCAATTTGTCTTTAGTACTAAGGAAGTATTGAAAATGGTACGTAAGGCGGAGGAAAAACCGAAGGAGAAAAAGCCACGAGGACGGCCACGCAAACGCCCAATTGAAGAATCAGAAGAAGAGATTGAAGAAGAAGAGCTAGAGAATAGTTCAAGTGATTCGGAATTGGAATTGGAGGATTGTGTGGCTCGTAGAACAAGATCGCGTGTAGAATAATTGAAAAAGTGTCCGAGTTCCCCATATGTCCGAGTTCCCCATACGTTACGTTATAAAAAATTATTTGAAATAAAAAAGAAACGAAAAAATAAAAAGAAAATAAAATTAAAAAATGAATTTATATTTAGTATTGAAGAAGTATTGAAAATTATCGAAAAGGTTAAATAAATACTATTATTAAAACAATAATGTAGTAGATTATTCAAATATCAAATTGATTAAGTAAAAGAGGAGATAGAAAAGGAAAAGGATAATGATAGTTCAATTGAATCAATGATAATTGTAGATCACCCTGTAGTATGTAGAACAAGGTCAAATAGGAAAATATGATTTTTGTGACCTATATTATGATATGACCCACTTCTAGTCAAGTTACGTTAGGGATGAATCCAATATCTAAAATCTTCTTAATAACGTGGAGGAAGTAAATACTCCAAGGTTTTGATTCTTGAATTGTAGTCTGAACTATCAAACAACCTGCGGCGGGAAAGCTTAGAGGATGACAAGATTATCGTTTGATTGAAAAATTCACATATATAATATGCTATAATGAAAATATTATCACAAGAGTGAATACTATTTATCCTTATAAACCAAGCTTCTCGTAATATGCCCTCAAAATTATTGAATACGAATTTCTATCAAATCGTGCCAGTTCATGTCATTATCCTGTATCCCAACGCCCCAAAGACCAATCCTTCAAAGTCAAACCAAAATATCAAAATGGCCCTTGTTCTCCCCTATTGGGTCCCTATTGGGTAACATAATCCTTCATCCCCTTGATCAAATGCTCCAGATTTAACCTCGTACTCCAAACGATCATACTTTTGATTCCCTTCTCCTTTGTACCTTGCACATCTCCCTTCTCAACACTATTAACATTATTATCCTTGTCCGTCAATCCAGGCGGTTTGTAATATTGAAATATCTGAGGTTCCACTGAGAAACATTTCATATCCAAGTAACCATCACGACAAAGCGACGCAAGTGCATTATCAACAGGAAGATTATTACCACCTTTTACCGCAGCCATAAGAATCTTCTGAGCTCCACGATAAGAAACTGCATATCCCAACGTACATTTGGGAGAACCAGCTTTATGAACTATACGGGTTCTTTCGGGATAATCTGCGAGGGTTTGAAGATATGGTTGAGAAGATTTAGGAGCAACGGTTTCGTCGTTGTCAATTCTGTAGATCTCATCCTTTTTCCCTTTGTGGAAAGCAGAGGGAAGTTCTTCGCCACAGTGACCTAACCATAACATATCCCAGTCATCACCATAGGGGGAATGTTGACGTTGAGAAAGTGGGATGTGTGATAGAGTGCGGATCCCCTTGGCGAGTTCGGGGAGTTGGGTTCGGAGCCGGATATCCCAGTCAACATCGTCTTCCATGATAAATACTGAAGCAAGTTTATTTTCTACGATGCTGCGTGATAGCAAATGCGAATCAGCACCAAGGTATTCGTCCCTTTAAGAATGTAAACTGATAGTGAATAGTATGTACACACCTTCGTATCACATTCATGTGACCCCGCCAAGGACCCATCGCTCCTCCATTCAAAAAATGTACCTAGGTCAAAGCGTCAATCCTCAGTTCTAGTGCCATCGTCCCAATATGCAGTGAAGAACGGGTGCTGTTGTAGAGTATATATCACATACCGGCGGCTTGGCCTTATCGACCACTTCATCACTTTTGATTCCATCTACAAATTGTATCTCGAATCCCGTTAGAGACGCAGATAATACTATTGCATCCCGTGTATCTGAGTGTTCTCTCAGCCCTATGACCACTACTTTCTCGAACTAGTTGATTATTGTGTTAGCAAGCGATATTCGCCTAATAAAAATTGGAAATTGGAGGAGGGTGATACGTACACCAAGCGTCGCATTACTGGCTCGACCTATCTCCGAAATGGTGTCGGCCGGTATAAGCTTCTGATCGGAAGTGGCGGATACGTAGTTGCGGATATCAGAAGATGACTTATCTGAGTAGTCTAACCATGTTGAGGTTTGTGGTGATTCCTGACGAGGCTGGAGAGAGATAAGAGTGATGAACACGAGGGCGACAAACGCACCAAGAAGATAAGGGCGGGTTCTTTGGGGGACCATAATTGTTCTAATATTCCATATGCTGATAGTAATTATGAGGCGTACATAAGATAATGATTATCAAAAGGTTACATTGGAACGGGAGTACGCAAAGCTGCAGAAAATAGGGAGGTCGAGGACAGACTGGCCGAACGAAACTGCCCTCTTTCGTGATTCAGCAAGAAATTTCCTGATCTTCGGGGTAGATGCATTGTGGAGCCATCACTGCAGAAGTTAAAATAGAATAAGGATTTTAAAGGAGGCATGAACCTTTTGTCACCTGAGCGGCTAACGGGGGTAACTCAGACGCTAATCACACCACACGCCTATCATTTGTTCCGTTTGACACGCGAAGCACGTGAAATGAGAAATTAAAAGAAGAAAGATCCGATAAGCTGGTACCGCACTCCGCATTAGGGGCTGGAAATTGCTATCACGTTATCGGCTCGGTATTAAGCGCTGGACGTTGACTTCCAATGCCCCTGTGACCGATATCCCTACATCTTGTACACTTGATTTATTGAATTAAAAATTAATTATAAGTTCAAAAATCATTAGAATGATTTCAAAATTGAGATATCCAGATATTTGAGAGAATTTAGAGAAAATATTAAATCTTTGAAAGATTTAAAATATAAAACAAAATAGTAATCGATTTAAAGTAATATTATTATAAATTAATAAAAATTTATTAAAAAACTATATTAGAATTTATTTATAGAATAAAAAGCTAAATTTCTGAATTCTTTTATATTAATGTTACTAAATAAAATCCTAAAAACTTGAAATATATCAAAAATTATGTTTTAAACATGGTTTAAAAATATGTTAAATCTTTTTTGAAGTTTATTTTTATAATTCTCTTAAAAAGCAAAATATATAAACTATCTTTTCAATTGAATATATTAAATTCAAGTTTCATCATTTACAAATAATATAATATGAATATGATAATTTTTTTTAAAAAATAATAATAATATATAAATCAGAATTAAATTTATTATAAATCAATAAAAGAGAAAATTAATAATTAAGAAGAATTTCTTGAATTTATCATACTATAATGCTTTATTTATCTTATTTTCTAAAAAATTACTTTAAATCTATTTTTAATAGAATTTTATTTAAAAAAAGATTTCTTAATTATTAGTATTTCTAAAATATTAAATCTTCTAATTGATTTTCAATTTGATTCTATAATATTTTTAATCTAAAATTAATACAGAAAGAAATTTTATACTTGAAAAATTAGATTAAATAAGAGTTTTTTTTGAATCCTTTATAATAATTATAATTGTTGGGCAGACTTAATAAAGTGTGTATATACAATATGTATGATTAAAAGGGTTATTTATTTCTATCTACCTTTTTCGTATAAAAAGGAAATTGTTATATCTATATATATGTACTACCCTTATTTATGTATTTCATGTGTATATAAAGTAAAGCGTGATATATAATGTCATATTGTTGATTATATATTCTGATATAAACTTAACTTTCTTTTTTGTATGAATAAAATTCATATAAATCAGATTAGTATTTGGAACTTATAACAGGCAGTCATCTTATTGCTTAATCCAATCTCTATTTCCTATAATAAATTAAACGAGTGTAATAAATTTCGTTTTAAATTAATCAAATACTATATTAGAAAACCATCAAAATTATCAAAATCTAAATCATTCTATTATATATATATTCTCCAGTCGTATCGGACGATATATCTAGATTCGGTATTGTACTAATCCTTTTGAAACTATAGAAAATTCGAATTTAATTGATTATCCGAAATATATATTAGTTTTCTATTAAGATATAAGTAGTTTATACTATTAATTACCCCCCCACTTGTTTGTTACGGGAGCTGCCTCTAGGGTCACGTGGAAGTGTCTAGAGATCTCTCGAGGTGGTTTAGACTAGACTTCAAGTAGGAATTCAATAAGGTTGTAACTGGTTGCAATTCTCGTAACTATAGTAATGAAACTAATGATTGTTCTTGAGCACGAAGCTCTACACTGTAATGAAACCCATTCCTTTATATAGACCTTCGTTCTCTGTGCTCAGTCGGATCACAAATGATCCCTCTGATCCGATCAACTGGATCACTAATGATCCCTCTGATCCGGTTACCTAAGCGTCGGGGTCACGTGACGTCTATTGTGGCAGACCATCGTAACACTACATTATATAAAATGATTAATATTATTATAACAAAAAAAAATTATAATAAATAAATTAATAAAAAAATTTCTCAAAATTTCTATAATAATTTAGACTTATTAATATTTAATGATATTATAAAGGAGTTATATATAAAGAAAAAGATTTTAAATATAATAAATGGAAAAGAAAATCCTCTTTAAAAACCATTCTTATTTATTTTAAAGAATATTTTTAAAAAGGTTATTAATATGTAGAAATAAAACCTTTTTATAATATTAATAATTACTTTATATTAAAAACTTTTTTTTTAATTTTAATATAATATAATATATAGTTATTGTGTATTATTATTAATTTCTTATTAAATCATGGTAAAATTTATTAAAATCTATAAAATATACTTTTAATTTTTAAATTCTAAAATCGATAGCTTATATAAATAATTGTATAATTAGATTAAAAATCATATAATTTATTTTTCATAATCTTCTATATTAAAAATTAAAAATTAAAAAAAATTCTTCAAAATATTAAAATTTACTAATAAAATACACTACGAAAATCATAAACTTTTATAAATAAATTTTTAAACAATATAATTAACGATTTGAAAGAATTCAAAAAGTATAAAGAATATGATTTTATTAAATATTAATATCGAAATAATATATATACTTAAATTTAAATTTAAATATTTAATTGAAGTTATTGATTTTATATATAATAAAAGTAGTTAAATAGTCTTTTTAGATGTGATTTTGATAAGTGACTAGTAGTAGTACGCTAGTACTGTACCTAGTACTTATATTATCGGAATTTGTATGAAGGATTTTATTCTTACACTCTCTCGTTTAATATATAGGTTATCAAAAACTTGTTCGAGATAAATCAGATGATAGAATCTCAAGGATCGGATAGCAGATTAAATGAAGATTTGATGTTCAGGATGATGTTAAATAGCTTATTAGATCGTCCAGTGAGTTAGAATACCCAGATAGGTAGGTATACGAAGAATAAGAGATGAGCGGAATGATCTGAAAGAAAAGAGCTTCTGGATTCTGGAAGATGTGTTTTGTAACTTGTAGGGAGATAGAGTATGGTGTATGATAGGGTTTGTGGGATTGAAGGGTGGAGAGTAAATTGTAAGGGTGTGCTGAGAACGAGATGTAGTGTCCACGTTACTTTGCCTCCTATTCAATGCTTTCTCGGGGGTTTATATCGTACCCCCTTTCTACTTTGAACTCTGATCGTGACATAGCGGAAGTATCTCAATATTCTATTGAAGTTTTACTAATGGAATAGAGAATTTCAGACACAACGGATTGATATACGGGGGAGATAATTGTGCTTGGCAATGATTTCGTGAGAGTATATTATCGATTTATTTACTACAGTTCGGGATTCAAGAGGATGATGTTGTTGGCAGAAATCATCAGCGAGTCATTTGGGAATACATCTACAATTCTTTATTCTCGCACGTTCTATAGATGGCTATGTGAGCATTCTATACATTAGGTATCAATATCCACCTGGACCTCGATCCGACTTTCCACATACCAGCTCGTAGCTACGTAATCCAACCCATACATAACGTTCAAAATGGTATCTCGTATATAACACCAAGCCCAAGTAGTCCGAGATTATCAGTACCATCGCATAATACAAGTTATACAAAAGAAGAAGAAACCACACACTCCCTCCATCCTTCTAGTGAAAATACTACCTCCTCATTTCCATCCCCATTCCACATTCCAAATTATATATACCAAATTACATCTTCCATCCCCCTATCGATCCCCAGAATCAAACCCACCACAACACCACACTACTCCATACATTTCTTTCCATCCCACTACATCTCAACCCTCCTCCCATTAACCTCTAACTCCACAGGTTTCACATCTCCCGGTAAAAATTTATCCATAGATCTATCACGTGCAGGCGTAAGAAATCGGATACGAAACGGGATATGAATGGAGTTCGGCACGAGAAACCGGCACGGGACTCATAGATGGATCGTAGTATTCATGCGGTGTGGAGTCGGGGAAGGAAATTGTGGAAGAGATGTGTTGTTCGTGTTGTGGCGAGAGATTTGTTGATGGGAAGTAAAGTTCGCGTGGTGTTGAATTGGGTATTGAGCCATGTGGTGGACTTGTAGGAGGAGAGTAGTTTTCGTGGGGTGTTGGATTCAGTGTTGGGCCAAGTGGTGAGTTTGTAGGTGGAGTGTAGTATTGATGTGGTATTGAATTTTGCACTGGGACATGTGATGGATTTGTAGATGCAGAATAACATTGATGGGGTATTGTGTTTGGTATCGATGTGGATGGTGAATCGTAAGACATTTCTGAATTTGGGGTTGATAGTGAGTCGGGGGGTGTGGATAGTAGTTTGAGGGATGAGTTTTTCTTTGCCCAACGATATTTTCGGAGACCCCAGAATAGAGCGGCGAGGAATTATACGAGGAGGAATCCAATTCCAATTCCCAGGCCGATGGTGGGGGTGCTGCTAGATTTGTTTGGAGAGGCGATTTGTTGGGCGATTTGTTGGGAGATAGTTGAGGTTATTGGGGTGGTTGAAGTTCTTGGAGTTGCTGAAGTTGTTGAAGTTGCTGAGACTACTGAGGTTGTGAAAGGTGTTGAAGTTAATGCGGTCGATGATGGGGTGGGAGAAGATAGTGACGAAGTACTTGAGGAGACTGGCGATACAAAATGAAATCCTGAAATCCCTTGAATTGGGACTGGTATTATTTGAACTATGTTCCCATGCCAGCTGATGCATTCCGGCTGCTGGAACATTGAAATCGATATCATCGACTGTAGGTGTCCAGAGAACGGAATAATTGTAAACATCTTGATTGCCTTTCATGATTTTAGTAAGTGTATTACAAATGGAATGGGAATAACTCACCAGCAAGAAGGAAAAGGTGCATATTTTTGAACTACTGTATTATCTCGTGAATCTGCGCGCAAAAGCCATAAATTCAAAAGAAAATCTCCATTTTTAGCAACATTAAATGTGTGAGGTGTCCACGTAAGGTTTACCAGAGAAGTTGCAGTGACGTTAACTGGAGCCTCAAAAGTCCATCTCTGCGCCATGTTTTTGAAAGAAAGCGTTTTTCAATGTATCAATGGCTATAATACTATCTTGATAGTGCTTGTGCAATGAATACAAGAATCGAAGAAAACAAAAATACCACGACTTCTCGATGTATGAAGGATATCTGGAGCGGAAGGTATTCGGCATGCCACCAAGATCATCGCAAGGGATGCTAATTTTGGAAGGTGTATGTTACGACGGATAACAAGAACTACAGGATTAGCATCACGTGACCATAAAAGCCGACAATCGAAATCGACTTTCGACTTTCGACTTTCGAAACTCGACCATCGGCTTTCGACAATCGACTCAAGAGTTAACAGAGCAGGAAGGTCTATATAAGGGAACAGGATTTCATTACAATGTAGAGCTTCGTGCTCAAGAACAATCATTAGTTTCATTACTATAGTTACGAGAATTGCAACCAGTTACAACCTTATTGAATTCCTACTTGAAGTCTAGTCTAAACCACCTCGAGAGATCTCTAGACACTTCCACGTGACCCTAGAGGCAGCTCCCGTAACACCTTGTAATTTAATTCTTTTACTTTTAGTTCTTTTTTTCGAGTTTTAATTATTTTTTAAATATTAGCAAACTATTTCCAAAATAGAACTATTTCAGTATTTTGAGATTCTACAAGTTTAATTATTCTTTTAGTATATCAACAAATTGATGATATAAGAGAATCATTATTTATTAAAACTTTATTAAAGGTTTAATTTACTTGTCTTAGTTTTGTCCCATTTGAAAGAAAGCTTTTAAGTATAAATAAATCTAAATTTTAATTGGAGATTCTTATTTATAAAGTGAAAGGTTATTGGGAGGAATTAAATAATAATGAATCGAGTACTTTTCGTGGGGTAAAAGGTACTAAATTAGCTTCTCTCCAGCCAGCTTTAATATTAGAAGAATTTAATGCTTTTTTTCTAATATTTTGAAAGAGTTCTATTTATTCAGCTCTTTAAATTTGTTTTATATCAGCTTGAGAATATCGATCGACCTTTAAAGAATGATATTGTTTCATTAGTCTATATACTATAATATCAAATGATTAAAACAAGTAGGAGTAATAAGAAGGTAATATAAGTAAATTGATATTCTTTTTTATATAAAAAGTAATAAAGCTATCTATAATATAATTTGAATGGTTATTTATAATTAAAAGTTGAGGTTGATTGTTTAATACTTTCTTGAATTCTAATTCGAAAACTCTTTTTAATCATTCTAATTTATAATTTTTTGAGACTTATTTATTTATATTAATAAAGAACTGCTAGCTTTGAGATATATTCTTTGAAATCTATATAGAATTTGTATTCTAAATCTTGAAAATGATTATAGGTAATAGAGTCTTTTCAGTTATATTAATATATTCAAATATAATTATTCATTTTTGCTTGTCAATTGTAACTTTTCAATTTGATTTTTGAATAGAATTGATTATAATATATATACTTTGAGTACTTTTAACTTCAAATCCAATTTTGTTTATATTATATATATTATCTAATTTATAATTTCGTTTAATAAGACGTATATGAAACGTGTCAAATCAAGCCTGAATATTCTCTGATATTACCTCTTTAGCTCAATTAGACTCTAATTAATATGAATAGTATATTTTAAATTCTAAATATCGTTTTTGGAATTTATAGATTCATTTGTAGTCTATAAATGGAATTTCTATTAAGGTAGGAATTCGAGATGATATGACCTGAATGTATCGAAGACGAATTTCGTCGATCATTTCCTTCACTAATATAGGTGTAATAGGGAATTCAGTAATAGTAAGTTGTGAAATCCATTGTACAAGAGTATTTTCTTTTGTATTTGAAAGAATTTAAGCTATTTTATAGGATTGAGTATATAATTTCCTTCCAGCAACCCTAGCTATAAAAGTTGATTTAGGAACTTCAAAATATTCTATAGCCTTTCTAATTGATTTAAATTCCTTCAATTGAAATATAATAATAACATTCTATATCTTCTCTTCAATTTGAGAAGATATAAAAGATGATTCAGTATATATAGCAAAATTTGTTAGGGTTTGAAGTTAATGATAGGCTAAATGTGACCCGATTCCCCATATAACCTGGTTCACCATAAGTTACATTATATAATTCACTTTTAATCTTTAATAATTATATTATATAATAGAATGAAAATTATTTAATTCTTATATAAAAAGGTTAGGAAAAGAAACTTATAAAAATTATTAATTCTAAGTAATATTATAAACAAAAAGCTCGAGGTGTATATATTGCAACAATTTGTTAATCAAAAACATTATACAACCTATTTATTACTATATAATATTAAAATTTATTAAATAATAATATTAAGGTATTTAATAAAAAACTTAAATAGTAAATAGGAAATCTTGATTGAAGACTTTCGTTTATTTCTTTTATATAAGATTATATAAAACTATTTATTTTTATTAACAGGTTTTTTGTAAATAATAAAGATTTAAATAGTTAAATAGGTTTTATCATTATATTAACAAATGAGGATATATTAAATGAGAATATATTTAAATTGATTAGGAATATTATACATTATAATAATATAAAAAGCAAAAGAGTTATATATAATATAGTAAAAGTTATAGATATTAGTCTTATAATAAAATTAATTCTATAAATTATCACCTTTTAATTGAATTTACCTAATATTCTAGTTATTATCTGTACAGATTCGTATTTATTGTATAAATATCTTATTAAATTGGGTATAACAAAAGAGAAGAGATTTATAATTAATATAATGATATTATAGTAATTATATAAAAGAAAAGAGCTTATTAAAGTTTAATAGATTAATAAACTTAATAATATTACCGATATAATAATAAAAGAAAATCTTAATAAAATGTTAAAAAGATTTATTAATATAAATACTCTTATTATATATATTGAAGAATAAATAAAACGAAAGATATATATAAAAATTAACTAGATCTTTATACAAATACAAATTATAATTAAGAATAAAGTTAATAATATTTTGATTTTTTGATTTTATTTTATAGTTTTTTTTTCTTTTTTAAAAAGTTTTTAATAAACAATTCAATTTCAAATTAGAAAAATATAAAGAAAATTTAAGAATTATACAATGATATATATAAACTAATTAATAATAAGTAATTCTTTAATAAAACTAGAACTAAGTAAAAGAGAATGTTTGCGAGCATCAAGGATTTTTAGATTAATTGATAAAGAAAGAGTAGAACTTCAATTAGAAGAAGTATAAAAAGAAGGTAAAGGTTAGTATTGTTTATTAGTGATATAAGAATACGAACAATCGGATTGTATATATCGAATCCTATAATCTCTTTATTTATAATTCCTATAATTATTATCGAAATATCTTTATATACAATAACAATCTAAAAAGAATATAAAACTATAATAACGATATTCTCTACAAAAATCCTCAATAAGAATTTCACAACTTTATATTAATAAACTATTTATATATAATATTTGTATTGTACAAATTTATATAGGCGTAATTCAATTATATATGTATAAAACAGGATTATTTAGTATTACCAAAAGAGTAAGTTGAAGATTATTATGATAATATAGTATAAGGACTTATTTGTCAATAGGGAGAATAGGATTTTGATTTAGATCCACTATTACATTTACTGTATTATATAATTAAAGGGCTTTATTTATATAAAAATATTAGTATATTATATATAATACAAAACTAATAACAATGTTACGATGGTCTGCCACAATAGACGTCACGTGACCCCGACGCTTAGGTAACCGGATCAGAGGGATCATTTGTGATCCGACTGAGCACAGAGAACGAAGGTCTATATAAAGGAATGGGTTTCATTACAGTGTAGAGCTTCGTGCTCAAGAACAATCATTAGTTTCATTACTATAGTTACGAGAATTGCAACCAGTTACAACCTTATTGAATTCCTACTTGAAGTCTAGTCTAAACCACCTCGAGAGATCTCTAGACACTTCCACGTGACCCTAGAGGCAGCTCCCGTAACATGTAGTTTATTAGTGAGCGGGTTATATTAATGAATAAGTTATTTCATTTTATATACAAAATTCATTTATATGTAACTATGTACTTTCTTTACATAATAATATAATTTAAAGAAATCTGAAAATATTGAAATTTAATTATATAAATATCATAAAAAATTAAATTATTATAATAGTTATTATAAAAATAACTTTTTTGTAACGAAAATCGTGACAATTTCTACTTTTTTTAGAATATAATAAAAATATTTATAGAAAAACTAGATTTATAAAAAGCTAATTTTTTATTGTTATTGAAAATTCTTTTCTATTTTCAAAATAATGATTAATTAGTTATTAAAATAAGAATATCGAAAAAAGGCCTAATTTTGATATATTTTCAAATGACCCATTTACTAATATGACCCGCTCACTAATAAACCACGTTATTTCAATAAATATAATATATTTCCTCTCTTATAATATAGTTTATCATCAAGTGGTTTATATTACTAAGCGAATCATTTCAAAATATATCAAAATCAATCATTTTCAAAAATTTATATTCTAATAATTAATTAATTTTTCTCAAAAAATTAGAAATTAATAAGAAATAAAAATTTCAAATTCGAAAACCTAACTTTTACATAAATATCTTTCATTATGTTTCAAAATATTTCAAAATTGTTATGATTTTCATTATAAAAAAACTACTTTTATAATAACTTTCATATTAATTCAAATTTTCAATAAAAAGTTTGAAATTTATAATATTAATATTTTGAAAAAAACTCTTCTTGACTTTTTTCATGTTCTTTGTTTATCGATACTGTGATATATCAATATAATTCTTGTCAATGGTATGGATTCTCATACAAGGAGATTTCGTTTCAATTCGTGTTCAAAGACATTCTACGATTCGTTGTCATTGGAATCCTCAAACATCGGAGTTGACCAGTTAGACAATGAATATTGTGACATCTTATCCAAACACATTCACAACT